ATGTTCATTACTAGTTTCTAATCATTTTTTATGTGGTTTGATCGCATTTTGGGCATAAAAAACGCATGAATCAAGTCGGCCCCCCATGTGAACCATCTCACCGGAGCTCTGATAATCTCGCCGGAGCATTGCCATGGCCGTAGGGCCATTCAAGTTAGTCTCCCTGACCTTGTTTGATGTTTTGATGGTTGTTTGAACCGATTTAGACGGCTAGGGCGATTACGTCTGAGATTTGTATTCTGGAAAAGTTTGCCAAAAACAATTTGCAAGTTAATGTTTTTGGACTGATTTTTCGCTGGCCGGCGAAGGCTTGGCGGCGAGTTAATTAGATTGCTATGATTGATTTGCCATTGGTTGTGCATTTGATTCTCATAAAAAACGCATGAACCGAGTCGGCCCCCCATGTGAACCATCTCGCCGGAGCTCCGATGACCTCGCCAGAGCATTGCCATGGCCGTAGGGCCATTCAAGTTAGTCTCCCTGACCTTGTTTGATGTTTTGATGGTTGTTTGAACCGATTTAGACGGCTAGAGCGATTAGGTCTGAGATTTGTATTCTGGAAAAGTTTGCCAAAAACAGTTTGCAAGTTAATATTTTTGGATTAATTTTTAGCTGGTCGGCGAAGGCCCAGCGGCGAGTTAATTAGGCTAGCTTGATAATAGGACATGTGAACTTGGTGATGGTGCAAGTGGAACGGCGAAATAGTCGCCGGAAGGTCGTCGATGGTAGGTCCAAACCGGCGGTCTCGAAAACTTTAGACTAAAAATGGTGCCTACCAAGTGTTTGGGGAAATGCCCCAATGAAGAAGGCCAAAAACGGTGCCGTTTTGGCACCGTGCCCGCCGGAGAATGTGACCGGCGACTGGCACCTGCGACGTCTGGTTCGGTCAGACCGAACCAGGTCAAACCGGTCAGGTCCGATTCGTTCCCCCGGCGGGAAAAATCAGAAAATTCGAAAATATAATAAAAAATAAAATAAAAAAATCAAAATCAAATAGAAATTAGGAAAATAGAAAATAGAAAATAAAAAATCAGAAAATTCTAAAAAATAATAAAAAAATCATAAAAATCATAAAAAAAAATTAGATTGTTTAGAAAATTAGAAATTTCGGGAATTTTAGAGAAATTCTTAAAAAAAATTTAAGAAAATTTAGAAAAAATTCAAAAAATTTTCAGAAAATTCATAAAAATCCTGAAAATTCGGAAAATACAAATAAAAATTTTGAAAATTTTGGAAAATCAATAAAAAATTGAAAAATTGGAAAATTCATAAAAATTTCCAGAAAATCATAAAAAATCTGTTCTCGGTTTAAAAAATTTTCTAAAAATAAAAAATAAAAAATTCAAAAAATTTGAAAATTCACAGAAAGGTCCAAAATCATCGTGGTCAGCCATAAAAAGTGAAATTTGAATTTTTGGAAGTGCCCAAATGGAATTTAAAAAAAATAAAAAAAATTTTTTTTTTTTTGAAAATCCACATAATGATTCAAAATCATCGTGGCCAGTAATAAAAAGTGAAATTTGAATTTTCCGAAATGCCTAAGTGGCATTTTTTTGGAAAATTCCAAATTTAAGGGTAAAACCCCTAAAAAAACCCTAAACCTAAAAATACACCATGAAATGAACAAGCTATTAGAGTTTCATCAGGGTTTAGGTGTCTTCTAGATTTTCATTTTTAGTGGCCAAATTAGGGTTGCTATGATTGATTTGCCATTGGTTGTGCATTTGATTCTCGGGTGTTTAATTGTTTGTCCATGATTAGATTAGTGAATTGACCTTAGAGATCCGTGTGACACGTTAGACAAGCCATATCGTTCTTAGGCACCGAAATGGCGTTAATGGTCTCAATTTGGGATCGTTAATGTAACCAAGTCCCTTATTCAGAATCTCTGGTTCGTAGGATTGCGGTACTTCTCCCGTACCTCAATTAGGTTTCTAGTCAACCTACTGTAAATGACCAGTGGCGACTCCAAGTTCAAATTTAGATCAAATAAACCCCGCCGTCACGTGAGGTATGGTCTGGGAGAGGCCCGTATAGAAAAATACCTCCATTCTAGCACGCGAGAGCGTGGCGCGACACATACCTTTCAAACTCAAAATCCTTTCGCATCGCCAGGAAGTGCACTGACTTAGTCAGTCTGTCCACTATTACCCAAATCGAATCGTGCCCTCTCTGGCTCCTTGGTAACCCCGTGACAAAGTTCATCGTGACATGTTCCCATTTCCATTCGAGGATTTTCAATGGTCGCAGAAGTCCTCCAGGCTTACAATGCTACGCCTTTACTTGCTGACAGGTCAGACATTTCGCTACATGCTTGGCCACATCCGTTTTCATCCCATTCCACCAGTAATGCTGCCGCAGGTTTTGATACATCTTTGTACTACCCGGATGAATGCTATAATTACTACGATGAGCTTCCTTCAAAATTTCCTCCTTCAATTCCACATCTTCGGGCACGCACAATCATCCACGAAACTTCAAGATCCCGTTCTTGGATAATTGGAAATCCGGTTTTCTCTTAGCGGCGTCCATTTCCACTATCTTCTGAATTTCTTGGTCCGTAGATTGTAATGCTTTAATCTTGGTTTGAATCTCCGGTTTGATCCTCAACGCGGCAAGTAAATTCGACACACGGCTCATCTCGAACTTAAATTCTGAATCTCTTATCCTTTCCAATAGAGTCCATTCCTTGACCATCATGTGCGCAATACTCGACTTCCAACTTAGCGCATCTGCCACTCGATTAGCTTTTCCAAGGTGATACAAGATGTCGCAATCGTAGTCCTTGAGGAGTTCCATCCAACAACGCTGCCTTATATTCAACTCCTTATGCGAAAACAAATACTTGAGGTTCTGATGATGCGTGTAAATTTGAAACTTTTCCCCGCACAAATAATGCGTTCAAATCTTAAGGGCGAAGATGATCGCAGCCAATTCCAAATCATGAGTCGAGTAATTCATTTCGTGAGGTCTCAATTGACGTGACGCATACGCAACTACCCTTCCATGTTGCATTAGCACACATCCAAGTCCTCTCAATGACGCATCACTGTAGACCTCAAACCCTCCTGATCCAGACGGAATAGTCAACAACGGAGCAGTCGTCAACCTATGTTTTATCTCCTGAAAACTCTTCTCACACTTGTCGTCCCGTTCGAACTTCGTTTCTTTCTTAAGTAACCGTGTCAACGGCGTGGCTATTGACGAGAACCCTTCTACAAAACGCCTGTAATATCCTGCCAAACCCAAGAAACTCCAAATCTCTGTTACTGATGTCGGTCTTAGCCACTTGGTCACTGCCTCAATCTTAGTCGGGTCCACTGAAATTCCATCTCCGAAAATTATATGTCCAAGAAACGCCACTCGGTTGAGCCAGAATTCGCACTTACTGAACTTGGCGTAGAGTGCTTGTTCTCTTAAGGTCCGTAGCACTTCAGTTAGATGCACCTCATGATCTTTTGAGCTCCTCGAGTATACCAATATATCATTGATGAAGACTATAACAAACCGATCCAAAAACTCCTTAAATACCCGATTCATCAAATCCATAAAGGCAGCCGGGGCATTAGTCAAACCGAAAGGCATCACTGTGAATTCGTAATGCCCATATCTCGTCCGAAAGGCCATCTTAGGTTTATCCTCTTTCCTAATCCTCAACTGATGATACCCTGTCCGTAGATCGATCTTAGAAAATAATGAAGCTCCCTGCAACTGATTGAACAGGTCATCAATCCTCGGCAATGGGTACTTAATCTTGACGGTCACCTGGTTCAACTGCCTGTAGTCTATACACAACCTCAATGTCCCATCCTTTTTCCTTACAAACAACACCGGTGCTCCCCATGGAGATGCACTTGGGCGGATAAAACCCTTGTCCAACAACTCTTACATCTGGACCTTTAACTCCTTTAGTTTTGACTGTGACATCCGATACGGCGCCTTCGAGATCGGTCAGTTCCTGGGGCCAACTCGATTACGAATTCCACTTCTCTTTCTGGTGGCAAACCCGGCAATTCCTGAGAAAAGACTTCGGGAAAATTGCACACCACGGGTATATCCTCCAATCTTGGCTCCACAACCGTCGAATCGACTACGTTTACCAAATACCCTTCACACCCCTCATCCAACAACTTGGTTACCTCAAGTGAAGAAATCCAAGGGATCGAGGTTCCTCCTCGGTTTTCCATGAATTCAAATCTAGGATGTCCAATCGGGTTGAATTGGATCACCTTGTTACTACAGTCCATCACGGCTTTCTGCTTAACCAACCAATCCATCCCGACAATCACGTCAAAATCGAACATAGTCAATACCGCTAAGTCTATCCTTTCCTCTCTACCCCTAATTACTATCTTACAATTAGGACACTCTAACGAGACTAACACCTTATCATTCAGTGGGGTCATTACACAAAGCATAACCTCAAGTAAAATCGGCTCAATTCCAGCCAATCTAACAAATTGTTCTGATATAAACGAGTGCGAAGCTCCCGGATCAAACAAGGCATATACAGCATGATCACACAGAGAGACCGTACTTGTGACCACGCTTGGCGTGTCCTCAGCCTCCCTTCTCGCCATTGCATACACCCTTCCTTGAGCTGGCGATCTACTCTGAATATCCGGCGGGGGATTTTCGATCTGATTTCCCATCCGAGGAGCCTGAGATTGTGTGGGCAGTCCTGCTGGACATTGAGGGTAATGTCTTATCTGATGATCCAAGCTCCCACACCTGAAACATGCCCTAAACCAGTTCTGAGAGTGGTTCGGCTTCCTAATACTCTTCTTGATGGGAGGGACAAAATGCCTATTTCCAGTCATCGGCCTCTTCCCAAAGCGGCGGTTGTCCTTAGCCGGGGCAAACCGCGATCCAGAAGCGGTGGCCCTATCCATCTGGTCTCGTTCTATCGCCTGAGCTCGTTCATACATTTCTCCAAAATCTCGGATATTCAGCGAGATTATCTGGCTACGAAGGTCCGGCTTCAGCCCATCCCGGAACCTTCAGACCTTATCTAGTGGGTCCTCCACCATCCTTGGCGCGAACTTTGATAGCCTTGCAAATTCCGCCTCATACTGATCTACCATCATCGGTCCTTGGTGAAGCCTCATGAACTCCGCTAATTTCCTTTCTCTAGCACTCTTAGAGAAGTATTTCCCGTAGAAATTCTCAATGAACACAGCCCAAGTCTGAGCGGTACCCTCAGGGAACACTCTCCCCCTGGTGGCCTTCCACCAATCACTGGCATTCTCTTGCAACTGGTACACAGCTAAAGTCACCTTCTCGGCCTCGATGCACCCAAGGACTTCAAAGGCCTTTTCCAGTTCCTCCACCCAACATGGCGCGGCCTCGGGGTCACCCTTTCCATCGAACTTTGGCGGCTTTAACTTCAAGAACTGCTCCACCAGCTGGTGCATCTGTCTATTCATAGCCACTTGAGCCTGCCCCTGATTGGTTTGATTTCCATTAACAGCAGCTTGGGCAATATTGGCAGCCCTCTCTTGAGCCAGCCTTCCCATCAAGTTTCCTATTTCCTGCAGTGCCTATATGACCCCATCAATCATCGGGTCTCCCGTCTCTAGGCCCCTTGTGCTCGGTTGTCCTCATGTCCCCATTCCTCTGCTCATTCTCACGGGTTTCTCACTATCCACCTACCTGCTATAATTCCATTAAGGAATTAGAGACTTAGGACAAACTATATCAGTCTGAAGTCCTAGACAAGGAATCACAACAATCATTCACATAGCATGCGGTCATTCACAAACAGCATGGGGTCTTTACCAAAGAGATATGTGTACTTACCTCGAATCCTACCGCACCTACACTTTACATGTCATTTCCAACAATCACCCAATCATGAAAATCAAACAGTCTGGAGGTACACGTAACACACAAGTCTCCCTATTGAGCTACCCAAAGTCATTGCTCCTTATCACTCCAGGCTTCGACCGAGTTGGATCGAGCTGACCTTGCTCTGATACCAAATCAATGGGGGATGTCATGTGACATCCCAAAATTCCATTCGCTAGTTTAATGAACGTACGTAGTGGAACGTTACGTGGGAATTGAAATAATCGACGACGAGCTACGGAAGCATCAACTTCGGAAGACGCGGATGCTATTACGAAATTACCGTACCATTGCCTTGTCAACCAACGCAAAACCATCTTGACTTCTTAATGTCTTCCGTGCACATTATCCATTTTAGTCACATTTTCCTCTCTAGTCAAATTTCATGCACTCCTATTCCATGTGCCATGTTGCTGTTATCTATGTTTGTATGCCACGTTGGAAGCGTTTTCCCCAATCCACACCACCAGCACACTTATTCATTCGGTCACCTCCTTCATCACCGTCACTCACCCTCTTCTTCGTGCCACACTTGCCCCTTACACCATCACCGCCAGCTGCTCATCACCCCGGCCAGCTGTCCATTTGTTTCCTTCAGTCAACAATTATTCTGCCATCTTCTAAGTCTCCACGCCACTTGCTTCTATCACTAACAGCATCATCATCACCACAGCCCAGCTGTCCCGCCCAGCTGTCCCATATTTTCTCCAGTCAACAAAATTCTGCTCTTCCTCAGTCAACCGGCGAAGGAGAATCGTCCAGCAAAGCCCCCAAGCCTCTGATTTTTCTTCACTATCGCCGACCTATTCTTCTTCTTCTTCTTCCCTTCTCATTCGGTACCGCTCAAAACAGAACCTCTTCCTCCGTTGGTTCTCTTCTGTTCTGAATCAAGTTCATTGCCCGACACCACCAGCTTGCTGTCCATCCTAGCGAGCCGTTTCCAGACCTTCACGCCACCAAGTTCCTTCTCACCGTGGGCTTGAGGTGCAACGAAAAGCTTGAGAAGAATTTTCTGAGGTCCCGAACCGCGCCGCGCCGTATTCAGCCGTTAAGGCAAGTGAAATTCTGCCTCCCTATACTAGATCGGAATGGGTTGCATGTTGGCGTGGCTTTAGGATATTGATGGAAATGGATGGTGGTGATGGAAATTAGCTGCTGGTTTGGGTGTTTTTGAACACCAAAATTCGTGTAGATCAGGTCATGGGCTGTTCTTGAACTTGAGTGTGATTTCCAGATTCAGTTTCTACTGGACCTTTACTGCTTTCCAATTTTGTAGAGATTTCTGTGGTTAGAATTTTGCAAGACTTCCTTCATGAAAGTTGTTCAAAACATCTGGTAGTATAGCATATTTTAATTTCAGAATTTTCAGAGTTGTTTTGGGTAACACGAACACCAAATCTCTAACCCGTGCCGACTGCCCTGGTGCTCTGTTTCAGTGACCTTTCCACATTCTTGAATTTTTATAAAATTTTCTAGAATGATTCTGAACAAACTTCCTTCACAAAAGTTTTTACGGATGTCTTTATCTACAACATATTTAAATTTCAGAATTTTTGGAGAAGATTTGGATACTGAAATGAACTCATTTTGAGAGGCAAGGATTCTGTCCCGATGAACAGTTTTTAGTCTGATTTTAAGCCCCCGAACGAGGCATTTACAGAAATAATTAGACTTTGAATCCTTCATGAAAAATGTTTATCAAGGTGTCTTCAGTGACATATCCAAATTTTAGAATTTCTAAAGCTCATTCACTATTTATTTAAGTCTGATTTTAAAACCGGTGCAAGACTGCCCAGTTTTACCAATTTATAAAGACTTAGTATTTTCCACATGAAATTGCTGGAATCTCAATTTGATGTCTTCTGGAGATGAAATGTATTAACTCTGATCTTTCCAATGAGTCATGCTAGACCTTGATATGGTTAGCCACGTGTCGTGGGATGTGTTGTTGACGATTAGTCAAAGCAGTGCTTTAGTGAACGAGACCGCAAATGCGACTTACAATATGTCCTACTAAAGTGGTAAACTGTGAATTATGTGATATTGAGAAAGGATGATTTTGTTGTTGATGAACTGTGTACTGCATGAAATGATTAGTTTGTGTGGGCTTGCTGGGTTATTAAATGTCGTCGGTCAGTGAACCGACGATGCCCCGAGGAGCCGAAGGGAATGCGGGATGCCGTGGTCAGTGGACTACGATGCCTAGGATGAGAATGCCCTAGATGCCCTGGGAGTTTGATCGGGATGCCGTGGTCAGTGGATCACGAAGCCTGCGCGGGCCGTTGAAAATTCCGGCGTACACCGCGGCGGATCGGAGTGCGCACCGAATCCCGCTAGACGGGAGTATTCCTCCTTGCGTGTCCGGCGAGCGCACTGGGCATGTGACTTGGAGTGAGATAATGATACCCAAGCAAGAGTGAAGTTATGTGTGTATGTTTGAGTCGTGCTGTTGATTGTGATTGCTGAGTTAAAGTATCACTCTTGAGATGATTACTAGCATGAGCACAACAAAATATGATTTTTATGATTAGTAAGTCTAGCTAGAAGACTGTGATACCTATGCTCGTTGATATGTGTTCTATTCTTGTTTGGTATAGGTTGACAGATATTTTACTTGTTGAGCCTAGCTCACTGTTGTTGTGACAAACTTTTACAGATCTTTAGCTATGCCTATCCTACCTGCCTCCTCCTCAGTTAGCTATGGTGCCCCGATCGACTTCTCAGGACATCTATCAGAGTTCGAGATTCCTGATGTCCCCGGGATAGTGCTCGTGCGATGTATCTCAGTATTGACTGTAGATGTTGGGCCCCCTGTCGGATCTATATTGTTAGGTTTTTTGGCAGTGTATGCTCGTGTTGGGGGGCGACTGATAGGGCCCTTACCGTACGTGTCCGACAACGGGGATGACGATGCTTCTAGTGGGGTGGAGTGAGCTGTAGTTGGAGGATGGGGAGGATCATTTTTGGGACATGTGACCGACACTTTTTGGGATAGGGTCACGTGATAGGTGATACGCTTTTGATAGATGAAATGATGAGTCTTATGTTGATAGGATAGTGATGGGAGTAGCACTGTACATAACCTCCTTGGTATGAACTCACCCTTGTATCATCCATGTTTATAAATAAAGAATGTTGAAGTTTAGTGCCAGTGTTATCTTTCTTTTTTGTTTTATTAGTTATAAATTCAAGTTTTAAATGCTTTTTAAAAAAAAGAAAAGAAACGTTTCCGTGTGCGAACTCTTATAACCGCGTGAGGTTAGGTTGACATATAGGAAGGGGCGTGCCTGGGATGCCACATGTCACGCCCTGAACCCTACGGCACGCGGCATCCCTTCTACGATCGAATTAGTGCGACGTCTCAGGACTCGTCGCCGACCCAAAACCCCAAATCAGAGAATATACATATGCGGAAACGATCACACACCCGTACACAACAAACGTGACCAAGAATAGCAACGGAAGACAAACATAGCAACATACTTCATAAAACACATACTTATATTAATCAAAGAGTATTTACAACATCCATTAGAAACATAAGTATACAAGGCCAAAACGGGTCAGTAAGCCACCGTCATCAAAAAGGAATACGTGGCTCGGGGCGGTTAGGTACTATATCCAAAAAGGGCTCTCTTCAAAAAGTGTCGGCCCTAATTACTAGCTATGCTCTAGGCTAACCCCTAGGTGGTATCCAATCCGAGTCGGATCCGGAAGACTCGGATGAATCATCGGACGACTCGAACTCAGAATCCATAGAGTCTGGCTCGGACTCGACCTTTAATGGCTCCTCCTCGGAATCATCGTCCGGCTCTGACTCGAGCTCCATCGGCTCCGGATCGGGATCGGACTCACATTGCATCGGCTCCTCCTCCTCATGGTCGGAATCCATGTCAGACTCTATGATGACTGGCTGGGGTCGGAATCTGCCTCGGACACGGCATCGGGGCTCACTACCTCCCCATCAGCTGCATGTGGATCCCATCGACCTAACCCGTCAAACGGAATGTCGAAAGTCCTAAGGGGCCCGTGAAAGCCGGTCTGGTCTCGATAGCACCAACTAAGGTAGGGATGGGTCTTGAGCTGCGGCCCGCCATCATTAACCCAAACGATAGTGTAAAACCTAATATAAGCCTCCCCGTTCCAATCGGGGTACTCGATCACCGAACGCTCTATGCGATCCGGGATCCCAAAACGTAGCGGTACGCTGGCCATCCTCAAGGTCGAGGGTCTGAAATGTTAGGGTTTAACAACAGTGAGAACGAATCTCAGTAAGTAGGCCCCCTAAACCTAAACTAGGTTAACATGCACCTCCAGACAAGTATCTAACCAAACAATTAGTTGAGTAATTAAACGACTTAGGTCTTCGGGCCCAAATTAATCACATAATCGACCCTACAGGTTAGGCACATAATAATACAAAAAAATCAATTATGGCACATACACAATATCACTTGGCCACGAACACTTGCCATTCGCATGCTCACACTCAGTAATGCACACTTCACACACATGCCAACTTCCAATTAATCTCTGACCAGCGTTAAACGCATCAGGTCCACCATTGCTCGGGACTCGCGTAACACGCCTCAAGTCCATGACACAACCCGCGTGAACGATGCCTCAGGTTGGCCATCATCAGGTAATCCGGGCATCGTCCCGGGTTAAA